AACTTATATACAAATATTATAATTTGATTAATTGATATAAATAATTACTTTATTTATGTTAATATTTAAGCATAATTACATATATGAATTATATATAAATTTATAATTATAAAATATATTTATAAAGTCATACAATTTATTTTTTTAAGATTTTTATTTTTTAATCATTAATTTTACATTTAGAAAATATTTTAGAACTTTAAAAATGTAAATAATATTATTTTTATTTGATAATTATAAAAATATAATTAATAATAAATTTAGAAGTTTAAAATTATTATGATGATTTTTTATTTTAAATATTCTAACAAAAAAAAATCCAACAAGTTCTCATTCAAACAAGTCTTATGCACACATCATTTGAATGTTGAAACAAAAAATAACTAGTTGTTTAGTCCCAAATCACTTAGAGTTGTAAGTTGTTGTTATATAACCTTTCTTGTACCCATGGTGTAGAGCTTCATGATTTATGACATCATGTGAGCTAGATTATTATATTTAATTTCAATATATAATATACTAAAATTTTTGAATCTTATTATTAAAAAAAATATATGATATTTAAATGAATTTAATATTAATAAACATTTTATATAAAAAAAAATATTTAAATATATTATTAGTTGAACCGGCGGTTTTTAAAAAAGAAACCATAGTTTTGAAAATTCGGATCGGACCGGGTCTGGTTCGACCGGTTCAACCAGTGAACCGGTCTAACAGCCGGTTTCGGTCCTCCCTAAGAATCGGATCGGTCTAACAACGAACCGGCCAAAACTGGTTCAACCGGCGGTTCAAACCAGTTTTGGCCGGTTCGTTGTTAGACCGATTCTTAGGGAGGACCGAACCGGCTGTTAGACCGGTTCACGGTTGAACAGGTCGAACCAGCCGGTCCGATCCGATTTTCAAAACTATGGGTTTTACATACATACCACTTTATTTCATGTTGTTTACATATCTAACATCTAAAACATTAATATTACATGACTACCATCCATATAAGACAGAATTCAAAATAAATTATTATATTGCATTCTAATTTTAAAAAAAAAATACAAGCTTTGCAGCATGGTCGATGTTTAACAAATTTCAATGAAGAAAATGCTCATTCAACTATAGCAATGACAACTGAAAAATTTAATGCTAAGACAAAGCTTCTTTCTTAATATTAATAAATTATTTTGCAAGATCGGCAATGTTCCCCAAAGATGAAAACTCGTTGTTTGTATGCATATCAAGAATGTATGTTGATAGTTGGTGTTCTAGAGCCACAAGTTATACTAATGAAAAATCAATTGAATATAGCCAACAAGCTGAATTAATTTCATCTTATCATAAACACAAAATGAGTTATTTTGATTTAGTCGTGAAACAAAAAGAAGCAACTCAATAATAATTTTAGAGAATCTATTATTCA